TTTTTTAAATTTATTGTAGTTATCTGGAAATTCGGTGTTATACAGACAGATTGCTCATATGGTCAGGATCAAACTTTATTTAAAAAAATAGTGTACAAAAAATAAACGCGCTAAAAAATTTCCCATTTCGCCAGTCGGGTAAAAATTTACAGACGGACGAAAACAATACTATCTTTGTCAGTTTGATAAAAAGTTGGATTTTTTAATAAAAATGTCTTGTAACAAATAGTCGGCGCGCGACGCCGGGCAATGTGTCTACTATTCTCAATATCTCTTTGCAATGAGGTTCAGAAAATACATTATACGACATCAAAGAATTTTATCGCATACACAAATATTACAAGCTTATTTTCTTAGATTAAGAATTCGTTTACTTTTATTTAAAAAAAAAAACTGTTACGTTAACCTTTTTGCCAGTGTGTTAAGGAAAGTTTGGATAAATTTTAATACAGATAAAAAACAAATTAAGTGTTATTTGTACTGTGTAAGACAATATAATAAGTTTTATTTTTCTGTGCTACATTTTATGTACCAAAGTATCAATAGCATTTCAGGTATATTTCACTGTACATTTTTTAAAATCTTTTCCTTAGTTGTGGAGCACGTATTCCATTTCGCGTACTCTTTGATATTGTAATGCACTTAACCGTTCCTTTGTACTCAACATTGTTCAATATGCATGATTCTTTTTTCACATTTTTAAATGGTAGTAGCACATGATACAAAAGTCATATTGTCTATGAAGTTACGGTTTTTAATTCTTCGCAAAAATCACAGGCAACAGCTAATATTGAGTAGTAAATAAAAAAAGGAGTTGTTAACATTTTCAATACTTATTAATATTTAAATTTGATGCGTTTTGTTTTCTAATACAGTAGGAGAGTAATTAGATTAGATTATATTATTTCTTTAATTAAAAATAATTTAACTTAGGCATTTGAGACTGGTTGAAATAAACAAAGGATAGAGAAAAGTTGGCCTAAAGATTGTTGTTTCGAATTCCTAAAGACCCAAAGGGTTTGAGACGAAAAGTCAACCAATCTTCAATCTAAACGGCCTAGCAGTGTTTACTTCAAGTTTAAGTCTTTTGCTTTATGCGTAATGCAAAGATTGAATAATCCCTTATATTCTATTTGGAGAGGTTTAATTAATATACGGAGTTAAAAGTTGCAAATAACAAACACAGCCAGATATTTGTGAGAAGGCTAAGATATTATGGAAAGCTTTAGTAACAGATATAAAAGCACTTTATTTATAACAATAGGGGCAAACGCGCGGCGGGAACACCGTGGTAATCAACGATACCCATGGACATCTGCAACACCGGAAGAACTGCAGATGCGTTGCTGGCCTTTAAGGCAATGGTATGCTTGCTTCTTGAAGGACCCTAGGTCGTACAATTGTAGGTGTAATAAACAGATAAAAGTTTAGTTAAAAAATATCTTTGTCTGTTATGCAATTTAAAACAAAAGTTTGGATTCTGATGATTCATTTTTGTAATTTTTTTTAATTCGGCCGATATTAGGATTAGTTTCACTTCAGACTGTAGCGTTGCAAACACGATTTGTGAATTTGTTTCACAAAATTTTAGGGAAGACACACCTTAAGTAATTTGGGAATTTTTTTACATAATATACTCGATAACTGAAAAAACATTTCCCTTCTACCGCAAAAACGTAAATTATTCATTGCTTTGTTAGCGGAATTAGGAAATTTTTGAATTGTTCAAGAAATTTTGTAAGCCAGTAAATTTCAAACACTGAAGTAAAGTTTCTTTGTAAAGGTAATTTCGTTCAAATTATTATAAATGAAATAATGAATTGCTTAAGACATTTGAAGGTGATTCTGATGCTTAGTGGTTGGAATAACTAGTTTTTAATGCCCTGACTTTGATTCTCACCTAAGATAAAGGTTTTTCTTGGGATACAAAGAGGTATTGGAATTGATGAATGAACGAAAACCTCATAATGAATACATTTTTAATCACTAGTTTATTTGATATAAAATTCGATACAATTTAACCAAGTTTTAAAATTTCTCTCGAAACAAAAATCATAACACTTATAACCATACTTTGTTCTATACTAGCTGTAACCCGCGACTCCGTCCGCGCGGAATTAAAAAAAAAAAAAAAAGTATCCTATTTGTTCTTCCAGATTATGTTCCATACCTGTGGCAAATTTCATCAAGATCCGTTGAGCCGTTCTGGAGATATATGTACCTTCTAACAAACATCCATCCATCCATGTAAACATTCGCATTTATAATATTAGTAAGATTTTAATGTACAAGAAACATGACATAAAGCATAATGTTCTTATATATAAAATTCTCGTGTCACAATTTTCGTTCCCATACTCTTAACGGCTTGACCGATTCTCATAAAATTTTGTGAGCATATTGAGTAGGTCTGCGAATCGGCCAACATCTATTTTTAAATCCCGCGCGGACGGAGTCGCGGGCGACAGCTAGTGCTTTATAAATCACACTTACCTCGAGTGTTGGAATGTTTCCATTAGAGAAAGACATCAGTGCGATGTATATCACGTGACTCGACCTGAGGTTCGAATGTTTGAGTAATGGAAAATCGATTCACCGAGGACAGTATAGTATATCTATTCTAAAATAAAACCATTGACTTGAATTACCGTGGGTTTCTGAAACGAATAACTCCATTTACTTAAACATCGTTATCTCAGTTTTATCAAAGATAGTGACAGTGACGTTGTGTTTTATACAGATTTTGATCTGAAAAACTCACGGTTAATATGTTAAAGTTATAAGATTTCATTTATGCACTTTTATTACAGGTTTGGTTCTAAAATTCGTATGTATGTTATATAGGAATTCTGTACACGAACTTACATTTACAAAAAATGTTTTTGCGAACATGAATAAGGTGAATTCGTTTGTAATTAAAACGTTTTTCCAATCCACAAATACGTATATCGTTTTCATTTGCTTCGATCTCATCACGTATAACCTATTTCCTTTCATTTCAATTTCCCGATCCTGCTGGAACCGTCCTTGATAAGAAAGTTTGTTTCCCAATATTGCATTAAGTACGTGATCTGACTATAAGATTAATATTAAATTGGATATTTGTACACTATTTAGTAACAGAGATTCAATTAAAAGCAAACATAAATACGATTAGTTTAATCTCTGGTAAATATAGATTTCATATGTGCGACTGGATTTAGCAAAACGCCTGTCCAATGAAAATAGCAAGTGCGATGGTGATGATAATTGTTATTTTGATTGTAATATTTACTTTAGACAAGACTACTTTTCTTAACCTAAAAGCAAGAAGTTGAAAAGATAAAACCTAACTGTTTATTTATTAGTCCACTCTATAGACAATATTAATTATTTTTAAATATTCCACCAAGAAATATCGATAATTTGATAAGGAGTAAGTAATTCGTGAAAGTGACAGCTCTCCAGAGCTTAGGGAAATACAAGTGCCGTGTCTGGCACTGACGTAGATCGTCCTTAAGTTTATAACGTAATGATAGTTTCCAATTTACATATAAATATTGAGAGAGAATTGATTAGAAAGTTTTAAATTATGTATTCAAAAATCATTATCAGTATTTAGTAATTGATAAAGGGCACGGTTTCGTTTGTTGTTTTTGATGCGAAAACAAAAAACAACGATTTCAAATATTTATAGTATCGGGAAAAGCAATTTCTATGTTGTCGTCCATTCAGATAGGAGTCTAAAGCGGACGTATATTTCCGACATTTTGGAAAGTGTCCAAATAAGTAGCGATTCGCACAAAGGTTTGATAAATCAAACCAGTAACTTACCACTTGCTGTCAACTAGAGGTCGCTTTATTTATTGATATGGTTTTATCGCCATTATCTGGCCATTGCGAATGTAAAGAAAAAGAAATTGAATCTTCGGATTTTTTGTGGTTCCTAGTAGTTATGATTCGGGAAAATATTGTCAAAACAAATAATTATGAATATTAATTGTCACTGTAATTTTTGTTAAAATTTGTTTTTTTAATGAGAATGAGAGGGAAGAAATAACTTTCAACGTATTTTAAAATGATTTATTTTTAAAACATTGTATTGATCGCATTTTATGAATAAAAACAAATAATAAATAATTCGATAACACATTCAATATTGTCATTTTATTTAAAAATTTAATTTCTAATTGATAATAAATTTAATATGGCATTTACATTATTTATTTATGTAATCTTATAATTAAGATGTCAGTAGTTTAAATACTGTTTGGTCTTTTTATGTTTACAAATTGAGCTTAATTATCAACTTTACATCTAAAGTTCTTTGGTCGAACTATGGTAAAATGTGGGAATGTCTATATATTTAATCTACAGTATGTAGTAACTATTCGAGACTCTTGGAATGTTAAATAAATAATAATGTACATTACACGCTATACAACATTAAATTAAATTGAGATGATATTGAGGACCGTTTTAATAATCTCAAATGTTTTAAGAACCCCCTGTATATCCCTGTTTTGATTAGCGGAATTGTCGCTCATTATTGGGACGGACATCTTTCATATTTTACATATGTATTAATCATTCTTATAATCTCAAGTGTAAATTTATAAATGCATGCAAATTGGTTAGAAATATTATGTGAAGGCTTAAGACTACGGCTCAAGCTGTGAGTTAAGTAAAAAACTAAAATTTAGTATCGCGCTATCAAAACTGCCACAGAAAATAGCTGCCTAATAAAAAAAAGGTGGAAAATATTAAAACAAATTCATGTGGTTTATTTTAAAAATATTAATAAAATTCCTTGGCGTTTATTAGGTTTGTAATTAATTAAAAGCTAAAAATATATTTTTTGCCGTAGTCTATAAAATCAAATCTTTGGTAACATCTCAGTAGTGAGCGACAAGACGCTATAACCGATTCTTCCCTCCCTTCCGACCGGGGTCCTTTTTGAACCTGGTCCCTTTTGTCATGTTCTGCTGTGTCCCGTTTGTTGAACGCGTCGAAATTTCCGTGCGAGGTCCGAAGCTGTGCGATGTCTGCGCGGTGTCGGACCCGTAGGGCCGCGGGTTCACTTTGGCCCTGGTGGGTAGTGGCCTAGGGCTTACTTGGGCCCTGGGCCCGTGGACATCACGGAAGCTCGAGGGTCCGCCCGAGACTCCCCTATCGACACTTGGCTGAGCGCCGTTCGTGTATTGCTGTAGCTGTACCCGTGACGCTCGTTCCATTTCTCTAAAACGAATGCGTTACTAGTTATATTAGCAGACATAACTATTTCATATAATGTATACATAGGGGAATATTGTGACATAAAATTAAAATAGGTATGCTTAGACGTTTCATGAATAGTAAAGGATTGAATTGAATATAATAGTTTTTAAATGGACGATGTATTTATCAGCAGAAAAATAACATTCTGTATAAGAGTATTACTACAAGTAGTAGAAAATAAATGTTTATGTAGATGTAAAAGAAGCGATAGACGTGCGCCAGGATATAGGTAGGCAATCATTTAAAGATAGTAATTAGGTGTTAGGTTATGTTAGGTTAGATTAGAATAATTGTAATCCACGTGTTAAAATGACATTAGCAGATAGTAGTAGCTGCTGGTGATGTGTGATATGACGATGTGATGAGATGTGATGTGATACCTTCATGTGCGCACGTAGGATGCGACGGCGGAGGTGTGCGGGTGGCGGCATGCGGGCGAGGAGGGATACGCACCGCTGGTGAGGCCGGGCAGCGGCAGCCGGCAGCACAGCGCGGCCGCGTACGCCGCGCGGTACTGCGCGTTCATTATCACGTAGATGATCGGGTTGACGCACGCGCTCGCGTACAGCAACAAGTAGCCCGCGATGTGGAATACTGCAATTTAAAATCAGTCAATCTCGTTAAAAATCTAAAATTCAATTTGAAGCTGTCTACTGTAATCATAGCTTCGAGACGAGAGAAGAGAATGTCAAATTTTGTACACTAAAAAAAATTGTTATGTCCAAATCCATCCAAATTGTCCAAACTGTCACGTTTGTAACACATAATTAAATAAAGAAATAATATCGTAAAGCTATCTACTTATATGCAGGAACACCGAGGTCATCGGCTACCATGGACATCTACAATACCAATGAAACTGTACAAATTATTAATTGTTTTAACTTACTGGGATAATGTACGTGACTATCAGCGACTTTAGCGATAGTGATGGGCAGGTAGCAGACTAGGAAGGAGAGGAAGATGGCGAGTACCATCTTAGTGATGCGCCACTCGTTACGACGTGCTTTGCTGTCTCGGTTATCCTTCACCGTTGATCTCTTCTCCGTGTTGTTAAGAGTGCCTGGCCCTGAGTGCTGTGAGCGCTGGTGTTCGCGCATTCTTTGCTCCGAACTAGAAAATAGGTTACAATATACGAATTAGAAGTATGTGTGATTTTATTTCCAAATTATAATGACCTAAATTGGTTATAGCTTCCAAATCTTGTTCTTTTTTATAAATATGAACATACAGTGAGATTTCTCCCATCATGATGAAAAGACTAAGGATTTGGTTACTAAGTAGAGAATAAATTAATTAATACATAAAGAGAATAAATTCATTCTGTTTTATTAAGGAGAACTAACTCTCGTAGTTAATAAAATAAGTAGTCACATATCACGAAGACAAACCGTGTCTAGGTTTGTTTAATGTGGGAAAAGACATAAGAAATTAAATACATAATATCTCACCGAAAAGCAAAACAAAAGGCGAGGAATAGATCTAGCTATGTTTGTTTTAATAACATAAATCTATTTAATCGTACCTGTGAACGACCCAGAAGATCCTAGCGTAGCAGATGAAGATCAGCAAAGCGGGTACAATGAACGCAATAACGAAGAGTGCCGTCTTAGACGAGTGGCCAAGATCGTCTGGCATTATTGAACATGTTCCTAGTTCTGGATCGTAGTCGAATTTACCTTAAGATGAAGAAAAAATCGTCAGTATCTAATTACAGCATAACGTTTTGTTTTGTGTTATGATAGACTCGATGTACTTTAAGTGGGACTGTTATAATTTTGTATCGATATTCTTTTATTTTGATATTTTAACAATCACACATTTGAAATACACACACAAGTTTACCATACGTAAGTCTCAAATATATGATAACTCATGAAGCGTTAATTACAATAGTTATGAATATTGAAACAAGAGAATTGTATATTATGTTAAATGAAATTATTGAAGATTCAATTTCTCAAGAATTTTTACGAGTCTGAAGTATAAATAAATAGTTTAATTTACCCCATATCCCGAGCAGCGTCGGTATCTGCATGCCGTAGGAGAACATCCAAGAGAAGACTATCATCAGCGCTATATTGTGCTTCCTGTATACTCGCGCGTACCAGCTGTGGTGAGCTATCATTATATACCTGCGAACAACATAACACGGCTTATTATGTATCATCAATTTGTACCATATGATACACTCACACACACAGCATTAAAAGTTACTATGAGTTTCCACAGAAATACAGTCACCTAATTTTAAGGTGTTCCATTTACAGAAAAAACATACATTTAAAATCTAGGTTAATGTTTTCGCGTCGTCGTCTGATTAAGAATCGTTCAAACGACTACTTTGGGTTTAAGGAGAGTGAGAGTGAGTAATTATAACAAAGCTTGAACACAATAACTGCCTAAAAACTTGTGTGTACTTGTAGAAATATACAAAATGTTGTCATCTCTGTCTTATCAGAGAAGAAGAAAGAAATGACAATATGTTTTTATATGATATCCACTGTTGAAGAGATTATTCTAAACGAACGTGCAAAATTGAACGTCAAATACAGTAATGCAAGAGTACTTCACCGTCGTCACATTTATTTACCATATTTTAGTATACATTTTCTACAAAATGAAAGCTGTCTATGACAGACTATTTATCACTAATATATTACAAATTTTCTATATATATCTGCTCAATAAGAACTTTCGTTAAAATGAATTGACTAAAACTATTCTATCAAAAATAATATAAATCCTTGTATTAGATATGTTTCTCTAATATCAATATGTTTTCTGCATTGTGTGTAGTAGTAATCTTGATAGGTTAAGGTATTATTTAAAACACATGACATCATAGTCAGACGATATGTTAAGCCACCCACAACTATATTCCTGCGCGACATTGTCCGTCTGATATCAGTCCATATGCTGTTATGTATTTAATTTTTTTTTCAGAGAAATAACCGTACAAATGTTCTTCTCATGTCTATCTGGGATGCTTAAGTAAGAGAGAATTGATAACGTAAAGAGAAAGGTAAGAAAGTTAGTCTTATCAAAAAATACGCAGCGGTGATCCTGAACTCCTTAATATTTTCCTTTTTCACCTGCGTAGGATAACCCGTTATAAGGAATGTGCTTTGCCATCCAATACAAATTAATTTCTTTTAAAACGCTTTTGAGTTCAGTTTACAAAGTTATTATCACAATGTTATAAAGTGTCGAAAACATACAATTTAGCGAGTGAGAGTAATATTCTAGATTTCATTGAGATATGAAAGCCGTGAAAATTGAATTCACAAACTAGATTTCGTACAAAAGAATAACGTTTTTACCTGCGTTGTTGAATAAATTGAATGAGCCAATTCTCTTGATTTATACAACGAATAAACTAAAGATTTCAATATTTTCACAGCTCTCTGCGAGATAGTTTAATATGTAAAGTGGTATAAGAATAGAAGACGTCTCACGAGACAATTGAAATAAAGAAAAGGGAAATATGATATAACAAAGATATACTTTTTGCGACGCTATTTTGATACAGTTATTTTGAAGGAAATGTACAATATTTAAAGAGTAAAGTGTGACTCAATTTTTTTGAAGACTTTACATTCTTTATAATATGTTATTATTTATTTGAATACGTTTGCTTTTAGTTGACGGACATTCAAGGACCGTTTTGCGTGACAGTATTATACAATTATGGGTACCATAAATTTGGTTATAAGTAACGTGCCCATCATAATAGCAATAAGCAACGCCATCTATGGACCTGAATATCAGTTTACCTGTTCAAAGTGATGAGTGCAATGCTCAACAGTGATACGCCAACGTTGCCATAACGTAGGAACGGCACCAACTTGCACAACGCACCCCCGTGCGACCACGTCCGCGTCCAGAAGCCGGATATGGCGAACGGAAGTACCATCGCGCAGAATAAAAAGTCCGCTATGCAAAGACTGGAATAAAAAAATGATATAGTTGAATTTGCTTGCTTTATTACAATACAGAAGCCATTATGTAAAAGTACTTTCCCGTTAAATTTAAATAGTTATGGGTATATTGAATAGAAAATTCAAATTTCTGGTATACTTAAACAGCATAAAAATAAGATTCGAACACAGGGTTAAAAAGAAAAACATTATGTACGTTCACAGTTCAATATGAGTCGTATTAAATATTTAATTTCGTAAATTGATATAGTTTAAACAAATCTAATTCCAAATTATTTTGACAACGATCCTTTGTCTTTACTTATTCAAGTATCAAGACGGGTAAATCGCACAGGTTTACAAATGGTGGGTTATTCTGCGCTGTAAGCCGATGGCAGAACATTTAAGTGATAATAACATTGAAATTGAAACATTAATTTCCAGAGAAACTATGTCGTACCTTTAATAGAATTCCATGTTATGCTAATTGAAATTTAATGGGCAATTAGAGAAATCTCAGTTTCTAACAATTTATATTTCTAAATGTTAACTTTATTGTTTATAAATTAAAGGAATTGAAGACAAGGAGACTCATTGTAAACAAATTAATATAGAGATATTTTAGAATAAAAATTGAGCGCAGATTTGACGGTTGTCTTTTTTGTAAATCTGACAAAATGCGTGATTAACCGTGGGTTTCTGACACCAAAATCGCCGTGTAAAACATACCATCATCCCTGTCATTATCTTTGACAAAACAGAGATAATAATACATTTTAAGCAGGGATTTTAGTCTCAGGAACCCAGGGTTAAGACATTGATAGACGCTATTATTTTAATAAAAAGATATACTTTTAATAGTGCAACTATATTATTTTAATTTCCAATAGAAAATCAACGTAGAAGTGATTGTTATGATATTGTGTTTCATACCTTATAATAAAGGCAGCGGCAACATTTCTTACTTTAGGGCACTTAATGAGGGCGACGACGGTCAGTAGATTGCCGAATAATCCTATTACCATAATAAATCCTGTTACCACTGCGGCAAACGTCAACAGACCCGGAGAGAACCTGGAATAATAAAATAATTAATTCCATTAGATAAAAACATCCAAGACAACTAAATGTCAAAGGGTCAATATCAATGGAGTCGTGGAACCAAAGATAAGTAAACAACACTACATGTTAATTAAAAAACTAAAAACCCGATTGAATGTAATCCCATGTAAGGGAACATACCCATACTACGTGACCTACTTTTTTAATTTTTTCTAAGTTTTTTTAAGACTGCATGCATGCTTAAATTACTAGTGAATAATGTATTTTGAAAAAGAATAACTACGACTACTTCACAAAAATCTGAGCCATCCACCCCGTTCCTGTGACTGACTGTAGTATTTTAAAGACTCCGCTGACTCCCCCCCCCCCTAAACGTGTCACGTAGTATGGGTACGTTCCCTTAATCCAGAGAAGAATAAATCGCATGACACCTAAAGGAGGTGAAAACTTATTTTGAAACTGATCATTAGAGATATTCATAAATGCAGTTGTCATAATAAACTTATATCTTGAACAAATCCATGTAACATAGGGAAATTATGTGAATTTCTTAAAACAAAATATTTAAATATAAATTAATGAATATTGTGTAAAGAACCACAAAAGGAACTATTGAATATAAAACATTAAGTGCAGCTGTTTTGTTTTTCAATAGAGCTTAAATAGGAGCGGAAATCTTTTGTGCGTGCGAATGGTTAAGTGCCCTAACAGTCTAGGACTCAACAAATCGGATTATATTACTATTGAAATCAACATTCAATGCTAAAATTACAAAGGGAAAATGTTTTAGTTCACACCTTTTTATTCCAATGTTTTAAACACTGTTAAATAGTGGTACTGAATTTTTCTTACCATGATTACAAAGATTAGGTTTTTCTTTAAGCGTATAAAAATAATATTTTGTTTTCGAGAATGGTAAATGGATTAAACTCCGTTTTTGAACACAGGATATCTTTTGTTTCACAAATTTTATTCACTCATCCACCCAACTGAATAAACGGGTGCACAAAAAACGCGATAGCAAAAAACCTTTGTAAGAGATACAATGCAGGTTTTTACACGGATAAATTGCGAACATTCATTTGAAGCTTTACAAGTGTACGATGAATTAAAAAAAATCATCGTACTTCTCTTCAGAAAAAGAAAGCTAGAATGTTTTCGAATGCCTAGCAAAAATTAACATATTGCTTCAAGATGAAAGCTAATTTTTCACAATTGACTAAATGGTAATATGTTTTAAGAGTATGCAAGTTACATAGTTTTTATAGCCTAATCTAAGTTAAGGGGTGACTAGGCCGCCTAGTCACCCCTTAACTTAGAGTAGGCTCTAAACTCCTCAGTGGGGACGTATTTTTTCTAAGATTGTTAATTCCCTAATACCTGTAGAATGAATTTTCTAACTTACTTCGATAGTTCACTCGGCCGCACACTAGAGGTCGCATCGTCTGTGATATTCAATATGTCCATTTTCTAGTACCTGAAATCAAAAATATATTTGTTTTAATACATTGATATAAAGTAAGAAAAACGTATTGTAAAGATTTGTATTGTATTTTTTGTAAAGAAACATTTGTTTCTTTGTTTTTCTATAGAGAATGAAAGGAATAACGATATGTTTTTGTATGTTTTTTCTAGCAGTGGAAATCCGGTAATATTGAAACCAACTACACTACAATTTGGAGGATGACGTCTTTAGTAGTAATAGAATCATTGTTCAACCAGATATAATGTTACAAGAGCAATTTACTGCAACCTTTTCAATGACGTTTCGGTCAAATTACGACAATTCTGAGTCATATATGAATCATATACTTTGTTCATATGTCAAAACGCTAATTAACGTAATTAAGCTTAAGAGGCAGGACTTTAGTTACACGTTTTTCAATCAAGTTATCTTACTAATATTATAAACGCAAATGTTTAAATGGATGGATGTTTGTTTGAAGGTATCCACGAAGCGGTTCAAACGGATCTTGATTAAATTTAGCGCAGATGTAGAGCATAATCTGGAAGAATAACAAGGCTGTCGCGGGCGACAGTTAGTAAATCAATCTTATATAAAAAATTCTCGTGTCACAATTTTCGTTTCCATACTCCTCCGAAACGGCTTGACCGATTCTCATTAAATTTTCTGAGCATATTGAGTAAGTCTGAGAATCGACCAACAGCTATTTTTAATCCCGCTCGGACGGAGTCGCGGGCGACAGCTAGTAAATTATAAAATAGGTACTTTGGAACTCCTTTCATGACGTCTTTATTGTCACGCATTAATTTGTAGTTTGAGAAGCAAATTACAATTGCATGATCTCACCTTTCCAACAACCACAAGTTCAAGAGCTATATTTTTGTCTTTTTTGTATGCCAAAAATACGATTAACGATGCGACATTCTTGTAAAGTATAGTAACTTTTATATAGAAATCTACAGCGCGGTAAAGATAACCCTTTAAATGCTACAGCAATTTCGCTTTTTTAAATAATCGTTATGAAGCATGACAATTTTAAAGCCACTCCTACGTCCAGTCGACCAAGCGTACAATTGTTAGCCGGAGTTTCACCGTCATGTGTCAGCGAGCGCGACCAATCAACAACAAAAGAATGACACTCTACCATCGGATGTATCCATTTATGTCTAGCGTAAACATCTATACAAAGAATCTTATAAACAAGTACACTAAACATACAACAAGGAAACAATTTTTAAAACTACGAATGCCTTTACCAAGTTATATTTTAATTGCATCTACGTAGGACAATACTGCAAGGTTCAAATATTTGGCCACAACCCAACTAATCAGCGTGACTTATAATAACATATTTTCCAATTTATGTATATTTTTATGACCGCACTATTCAGTTAATAGTAGTTTATTGAACCAAAGTAATCTAACATTAATTTTCCATCAAATTAAACTTCGCTGCCAAGGCAATTTTTTTCTCTAGACTTTTATTTGTTTCTTCAAAATTTTATTGCCTGATTCGGACAGTAAGCACTTTCATTAATTCTAAGCGAAGACACCGCCGAGTATTCTCCAGCAATTAATGACCGAATTTAACAAACAGATGCCTTACACAATCCCAAGTGCCAACTGGGCTAATACTTTTTCTATCGGAGCAACAAACTCCCTTGATCCTGCAAGAACTTTGAATTAAATTTTAAATCTTCGTTGAATTTTATCTTTATAGTTTGTCGTCCTACTTTAATTTTTTTGGCGTAAAACCAAAGTATGTTAAGATTTAACTAAGAACTTCTTATTTGATGAACAAAATTTTCAATTTTTTTTTCATACATAAGCATTTATTTCTATATCAAAATGTGAATAACAAAGGATTATATTAGTTGTAAATATCATTGGTTTCCTCACCGTTGTTTTTCACTATTTGTAGATCAAAAGTCGTAAACGTTAATATTCATATAAATTAAAAATGTGTAATGTACAAAATGTGTGAGCGTCGGTGGCTCAGGGGTTTGACTTGCAATCTGTAGGTCCTGGGTTCGAATCCCGCCATGTACCAATGTGTTTTTCGATCTCCGATTTACATATGTACATTTATCAGACGTTCTTACGATGAAGGAAAACATCGTGATGCAACCTGCACATATCTGAGAAGAAATTCAAAGATATGTGTGAAGTCAACCAACCCGCACTGGGCCAGCGTGGTCGTCTATGGCCTAGTCTCCCTTGATTAAGGGTAGGCTCCTGTAGCTGATGATGATGAAAGTTCAAAATGTGAATAGTCTTTTATTTTAACTTAGATTATATTAAGTTAGATTGTTATTCGATAACTTGTTCATACATTTTCAAAGTTGTATTTGATTCAGTTGGATTGCAGTTGTAACGATATGTAAGCACAAGGTTACTAATTAACTTGAGAGAGCGCCTTGTACTGAGCAATTGTTTGAAGAGCCAATTTAGAGCATTTAGAGCTCGCCGCACAAATTAGTACGGTGTGCAAAGAAAATACTAACATCCGCTATCTAAATTAGGTATAACATCAGAAATGCAGTTTCATTAATCTTGTAGATTTTCAATAACATAATATAGTTCGATTCTAAGTATGGTTAAGTTACTTTTAAGATGTAAATAAGTAATTTTAATCTGTACATTTATGGGACAAATATTTAAACAAATCCACCTATAAGTTTTGTTTTCGTATTATTAAATTACTTCGTGTGCTACAGAATATACAAGTTCAACTTTGAAAAGGTTAAGATTGAGTAAATTTTTACATCGTATGTTAAGAACGATTGAAATCATTTTAGTCAAATTCATCACTTGCGATAATCTTTAGTAAATGATTTAGCAAAATTTTCATTTTTTATCACATTCAAAAGGAATCGTTCTGAATAGACCTCCAAGTTAAATAATGAACCTTTTAGTGTCTGATACACCTGTTCTCTGAGGAGCGATCAAATGACGACGAACTTCGCCAAATCATTATTGCCATTAACGAAGATAAATGAAGTTGTATTTTTAGACCTCATGCTACTATTGTGAACGTACCTTTATTTAGTATTGAAGGAACCATTTTAATCAGGGCAATAACCTTTGGTTTATCTTCCTAAAAATAAATCTAGTTGTATGGTAATATTTAATATTTTAATGACATTGTAAAAATGTTACGGTTAATTTGATAGTTGTATTTTTATAATATAGATCTTATTAATATTATAAATGTGAAAGTTTAGAAGGATGGATGGATCGAAGTTTGTTATGGCGTATCTAAAGAACGACTAAAGGGATCTCTTTGAAATGTTGTATAGATTGTCTTGATGAACAAAATAAGCTACTACTTTTTTTTTTAATTCCGCATGGCCAGAGTCACGGGCGAAATAGCTTGTTTAGAAATAAAAATATGTTTAGTTTCTAATATAGAAAAAAAATTATGAGTAAAAAATTAAACAAAGAGTAATGAAAGTGTCTCTCGCTTATTCTTTCACAAACCTGACATCATGAGATGTTTTTGTGAATGTTTGGTCAGTGCGAACACACAGTTATATTTACAAGTTAATTTACAGCACAAACAAAAAGAAACCTAAAAGTATGGTCTATTAGTATTAAATACTTTGATATATAAATCATCAAATTGGCTTAATCCGAACGATGAACGCAAGCATACTGAGAACTCTCATAGTCCCTATACAATATCTGAGAGTGAGTAAATTACTGCAGATTGTTGCTCCAGCGGGAATGCGAAGGTTAATTATTGGACCACAGTAATGTGGCACAGTAGACCATTGTGAACAAAACACAGCTAACATCTAACTTCGACGACTAGTCTTATTAATATGTTTATATCAACGTCATATTTGCATTTATAGAAATACTAGCTGTCGCCCGCGACTCCGTCCGCGCGGGATTAAAAATAGATGTTGGCCGATTCTCAGACCTACTCAATATGCTCACAAAATTTCATTAGAATCGGTCAAGCCGTTTCGGAGGAGTATGGGAACGAAAATTGTGACACGAGTATTTTATATATAAGATTAAATGGACTAAAATCTACACTAATCAGTTTTATTCCTCGCAATAAAATTCTGATTATTTTTTTACTTTTATTTGCTTTCATTTGTCATTAAATATATCATTTTTTATTAATTTTTATACTTAAGAAATGTTTGCGAGAGTCCTAAGATTTATGTTAAATCATTTTTTATAATAGAAGCGGGCAAATTAGCAACGGGAACACCGAGATGTTCATCGACGCCCCAGGACATTTGCAATACCAGAGGAACCGCAGATGCGTTGCCGGCCTTTGGAGATGGTGATACGCTCGCTTTTTAAAGGACCCAAAGTCTTAGCGATTTAATTATAAATATCATTAATAGTTATTTAAAACAATTTAAAATAGGACATAGTACTTAATCTCAAGGAAGAGATGTAACCAGTTCCAGAGAACGATGCACTGACAATTAACTAATTTAACACGACAAATGTTAAGTGGATGACGCTCATTGTCTTCAATAAAGGAAGCGCCCACGGATATTTAACATCCTCTTCAAGACAGACGACCGAAATTAATCATGATAAAAAGCAACAATGTCTTATCTTCTTTTAAATACAAGTTAAATCATTAGTAGTTTATTATTTTAAATTAACAAAAGTATGCAGAAAAAAATAATTGCTATTTTTTTTTAAATAGAGCTTTTATCTGGTTCTGGTACTTCACTATCAAATCTATTTTTACCAAGAATAACCTTTTGAATATTTCATTTAGTGCTGTGCTACCTTTCTTTTCAAATTAAAACCGGAGTCCAACTCTAATATTGCAGTTTCTAGAAAAAAACATTTGCAGCGTAAATAAAATCCGTACAGAGCATTGTTCTTGGATTTTTCTTTTATTAAATTAAATCTCATTAAATATTAAAGCGACAAGAATGAATTTTCCTTCAGGCAGATTATACATCAAGACAAACATAATAATCTTACTATTTATGGAATCAAATAATCCTATTGGTTCATAATACAATAAGGAA